GTGGGGGGGCGGGGGGGGGGGGGGGGGGGGGGGGGGGGGGGGGGGAGCTGGAGCCCACAGGTGGGTTTGAAGGAGTCCGTCAGCTGCTGGCTGAGCACCTGAGGTGTGTACCTGCACAGTGCACACCTCAGGTGTTCGGTTTCATCCAGCTGCTTCCAAACCACAGCATGCTGATGTTCAGGCTTAGTGTCAAACTTTAACGTATAGAAATCTATATTTTGACTGTTTCTCAGCTTAAAACACACAAGGTGCACCACGTGCATGACACAGGACCACAGAAGAAGAACTGAAACACTAAAAACCGAACAAACTTAGATTTTTTTTTTAGGACTCACAGAATCAAAGAAGCATCTTCATAATTTAAACCCACGGTTCTTGTGATCTGAAACTGTTTCGGATCCTCTTTCTCTCTGACGCCACCTAACGGCGAGTCCGCCAACCAGCAAGTGTTCGTTCCAAATGAACGAATTCATGTTTTGAAAGGGTTAAATAAATTGTAATAAAGGGTAATTTAAGTAAATAAGTGCTGATTAAAAATACAATGTTTATTTAATATAATGAACAATAGGGTTGATAAAATAAAAACTGCAACTTTTATGCTTTTTAATCCCCCCTCCCCCCAAAAAATAAAGCTCATACATTCAATTATTAGAAATCATGTTCAATACAGAATAATTGTATTTATTTACTTATAATAAATTAAAATAACTTTCTGCTTTAAGTACAGATTTGTTTGCGAGCCATACCTCAAAAACATACACTTCATTTCCCATAATGCACAGGCTGCGTGTTACGTCACAGTTTTTCCGGATCCGGGTCTCCGGTCTTTTCAGCGCTGTCTGCGTGGTTTAGCGGCGTTAGCTTGCGGGGTACATCTTTTACCTTTTACTCCACTCTCGGACGGGCTTGGACTAACACCTAGGAGCATGTCGTACCACGAAGAGGAAGAAGTTAGTGGATATTTTCTCTAATAAAGCCGGAAGCTGCCGTTGAAATAACAACAAAACCAGATTTAGAAGCTGTTAGCGAAGTAGCATTTAAGCTAGCCGTGTTGCAGCTAACCGATGAACGAAACTGATAAACTAATTATTCTGTTTATAAATTGACTAAACTCTAATTATGCTGTTTATAAATTGACTAAACTCTCATTATGCTGTTTATAAATTGACTAATGAAATTTATCTTTAAGAGGATAGTCATATTTATCACTACCAGCTTGATGGCAGATGGCAAAATTTCTTTACGCTAACAAATGTTTTAGTTAAATTATTTTAAGCAACTTTATTTATAAAAGACATTTAAAACAGCAGCTGTTACCAAAGTGCTTGTTAACAAAGCATTTTTAAATTTCAGTTTAAAGAGCTTTACAGCTGTCAAATGTTGTCAATTGTATATGTTTAGGTAAAAAAAAAAACCTACAGTGTTTTAAATTTAAAAACTTATGTAAAAACGTCCTAAGTTTCCATAAATAAAAAAAATGGCAGATTCCAATTTATAAAACATGATTCTGATGAGTAACATATTAACTTTTTAATTGTTTAAAATCTGTTTTATATTAGCATAAATCTTCCTACTGCAGAACATTTTATTATTTCAACAATTTGCAAATGCTGGTTAAGAAATATGCAAATCATTCAAATGGGACATTTTTTTTTTGTTATATGCAAACTTGAAAACACAAATGAATGGTTTATTAAGTAGTTTTAAATGTTCCTTTCCACCTTCGGTATATTTGGTTAGTTATAATTCCATTTAAAGCAAATAATCTGACAAATCTGGTCACTTTTACCAAATGTTATAAATGAGAGTTCATGTTAAGTGCAATAAAAATATATATTTCTATGGAATGGCTCTGCTAGGTTGGAAAAATTAATCAGAAATGAAAAAAATTCAGGGTTAGCAAAGATTTCACCAGTCAGCACTGGTTGTAACGTACCTGATGTTATAATTATATTTTTCTCCCCAGTACGATCCTTACTCCTACTCGACTGACTATGATTTGCACACCGGTAAGTTTACTCATCTTTATCTGCGTTTTCAATTATTGACAGTAAAATAAATTCCCCTGGTAATATCGATGGCTGTTAAATCTGTTTTTGCAGGCGACCCCAAAGCAGACCTGGCCTTCGAGAGGCAGTACGAGCAGCAGACCTACCACGTCATTCCAGAGGTGATCAAGAACTTTCTGCAGTACTTTCACAAAACCGTCTCTGACCTGATTGACCAGAAGGTCTACGAGCTGCAGTCCAACCGCGTTTCCAGCGAGAGCATCGAGCAGAAGGTCTACGAGATCCAGGACGTTTACGAGAACAGGTTTGTTGGTAAACTTCACCTCCTTTTTGTGACGTTCCATTCTTTTAGAAGGAAAGACGAGCTGTGCACGTATGTCGCATTAATTTTGATTCCATCTTGTTCCGCACCAGCTGGAACAAATTAACCGAACGTTTCTTCAAGACGTCCCCCTGGCCTGAGGCTGAAGCCATCGCATCGCTTATTGGAACAGGTGAGAGTGATTCACAAGTTTTCTTCTTGCGTTTAGCTTAAATGATATTTGTTGGGAAATGTTTCTTATAACTTACATTTGTATCTGGTTGTTACTGATGGTAAAGTCTAGGAACAAAAAACATGTTGTTGGAGATGTTTATCTCATTAGAATTGTTTTAATTCGTTACACAGATGCTGTGTTTCTCATCCTCTATAAGGAACTTTATTACAGACACATCTACGCTAAAGTCAGCGTGAGTAACTCCACTACATAAATGTTTTCATCACCTTCTCACTTGATAAGTACCGTAATTTCCGGACTGTCGAACGCACCTGAATATAAGCCATGTCCACTAAATTTAAAAATAATAATTTTGAACCTATATAGGCTGCGCTTGTTTATAAGCCGCAGGTGTCCACGTTGTAAGATGAGGTATACCGGCCTTTATGTCACAGTTTTTTACATAATTTACATGCCCTGCGACTTATAGGCTGAAACGACATATTTATTAATTTTTTTCCATATTTATAAACCAATTTTTGACAGATATATGACCGTTTTCATTCATTGACTGAAAAAAAATAAGAGCAGTCCCATTTTCAGCCACTTGATGGCAGGAGAGTAGTAATAGCTGTTCTATGAGAAAGGGTTCTCTGCAGACCAGAAGTGGGCGTTTCTGGAGGACAAACACTGATTGGCTGTATCTGCTGCTCTTTAGTTACGTCAGCTCTTTTTTAAAACTGAAGGCTTCTAAGAACCAGCGTTATATCTGCTGTCAAACACAAGAAGATTCTCTTGTTCTTGGTTGTAGCTGTACCTGAAACAGGTTGTCTGTGGTCTGGGTACAATGAAATATCAGAGTCAGAGTCAGAGTTTCTTTATTGTCATTCGCACCTCATGTGGTACATGTGGTGGAGCGAAATTATGTACACAGGGTCCCAGTTACATCCAACAATAAAATGTATAAGAAAAACAGTAATAACATCTAAGATATGAACTAAGAGAAACATCAACTAAATATACACTAAGCACTCATAACATAAAACATTGAACATCACCACAAACATGAACATGAGTCTGTGAGCAGATGTGCACGCATGAACACATCAACATTGAAACAGATCAGCAGCAACATGAAACAGATCAGCAGCAACATGATATGGTTTTTCACAGTGATTATTCTAGTTAGAGATTCATGAGTCTAACAGCCTCAGGGTAGAAGCTGTTCCTCAGTCTAGTGGTTCTACACTTAATGCTCCTTAACCTCCTTCCTGAGGGGAGTGGGGCAAAAAGTGTGTGTGCTGGGTGGGTGGGGTCCTTCATGATGCAGGTGGCCCTCTTCCTGCATCTGGAGGTGTAGATGTCTGTGATGGTGGGGAGACTGACTCCAACAGATTTCTGTGCAGCCTTCACCACTCTCTGCAAAGCTTTTCTTTCTGCAGCTGTGCAGCCTCCATGCCACACGTTGATGCTGGAGCACAGGATGCTCTCCACTGCACACCTGTAGAAGGAGGTGAGGACTGAGCTTCCCAGACCAGCTCGTCTCAGCCGTCTGAGGAAGTAGAGTCTCTGATGAGCTTTCTTGATCAGGCTGGTGGTGTTGTTGCTCCAGCTGAGGTTGTCATTCATGTGTACACCCAAGTACTTGTAGCTGGAGACCACTTCCACCGCAGATCCTCTTATGTTCAGGGGGGTGTAGGTGTTTTTGTTCCTTCTGAAGTCCACAATCATCTCCTTTGTCTTCTTCACATTGATGTGAAGGTTATTCTTTCTGCACCAGCTCTCCAGGTGTTCCACCTCTTGCCTGTAGCTGGACTCATCATTGTTTGTGATGCATCCCACCACCGCTGTATCATCTGCAAACTTTACAATGTGACAGCCTGGATGGGTAGCTGCACAATCATATGTGAGCAGAGTAAACAGGAGGGGGCTCAACACACATCCCTGAGGAGAGCCAGTGCTGAGGGTTATGGTGGAGGAGGAGAGGTTGTGGATCCTCACTAACTGTGGTCTGTTTGTTAAAAAGTCTAGTACCCAGTTGCAGATGGAGGGGCTTAGTCCTAGTGTGGATAGTTTGTCCATCAGGGTTTGGGGGATCATGGTGTTGAAGGCGGATGTGAAGTCCACAAAGAGCATACGGACGTAAGAGTTTTTCTGCTCCAGGTGGTTGAGTGCAGTGTGGACCACAGAGGAGATTGCATCCTCTGTTGATCGGTTCTCACGGTATGCGTACTGATGAGGGTCCTCGTTGATGTTGATGGTTGTTTTGATGTGAGTTATGACCAGTTTTTCGAAGCATTTAGCGACTATCGGGGTGAGGGCCACTGGCCGATAGTCATTCAGACCAGTCACTGTAGAGCTTTTTGGGACTGGGATGATGGTGGCAGTCTTCAGGCAGGTGGGAACTGTCTCCAGGGTAAGTGAGGTGTTAAAGATGTCTGCCAGCACCTCACAGAGCTGATCAGCACATTCCTTCAACACTTTTCCGGGGGATGTTGTCTGGGCCAGTTGCTTTGTGCGGATTAATCCTCCTGAAGGTACTCCTTACTTCTGCTGAGGTCACGCTGAGATGCTCTTCATCCGGTGGTGAGGTGAGTCTGGTGCTGGGTGGTCTGTTCGGGTCTTCAAAGCGTGCATAGAACTTGTTGAGGGCATCAGGCAGAGATGGGTCTTTGGGACATTGTTCACTCCTTCCTTTATAATCTGTTATGCACTTAATGCCCCTCCACATGCTCCGAGGGTCTTGTGAGATGAATTGACCCTCGATCCTCTTTGCATATGTGGCCTTGGCCCTCTTAATACCAGCAACCAGCTCTTTTCTTGTCCTACTCAGCTCCTCTGAGTTTCCAGTCCTGAAGGCAGTGTTCCTGGCTTCCAGCAGGGTACGCACCTCTGCATTCAGCCAAGGTTTTCTGTTTGGGTAGCTTTTAACATATCTGATAGTGGAGACTGTGTCAGTACATGTACTAATGTAACCCAGTACTGAGGATGTGTATTGGTCAAGATCAAGCGAACCTCCATTTTCAGCAGCTTCTCTGAAAACCTGCCAGTCTGTTCGATCAAAACAATCTCTCAGTATGGGGCCACTGTCCTGGATCCAACATTTAACTTTCTTTTGAACCGGTCTGGAGCGTCTCAGCGGGGGCATGTAAGCAGGAGCCAGGAAGATTGAGATGTGGTCTGACAGTCCTAGGTGGGGGCGGGGTTCGGCTTTGTATGCATCTTTTACGTTCGTGTAAACACGGTCCAGCGTGCGGTCTCCACGTGTCGGAATCGTCACATGCTGATTAAAGCTTGGGAGACAGTCCTTTAGATTCACGTGGTTAAAGTCTCCGGCTACAATGTAAAGAGCCTCGGGGTGTTTGTTCTGCAGCGAGCTGATGATATCATGTAGCTCCTGTAGTGATTCATTAGCATTAGCGTCCGGAGGAATGTAAACAACTGTGATAAAAGTCACTGTGAACTCTCGAGGTAGATAATGTGGCCGACATTTCACTGTTATTTGCTCCAAAGCCTTCGAGCATGAGCTATTTACAACAGTACAGTTCGTGGACCAACTTTTACTCACGTAAATGCACACTCCGCCCCCCCGTGATTTCCCCGTTAGCTCGCTGCAGCGGTCCGCTCGAAAAAAAAAGTCTGTCATCCAGCTGGAAGACTGAGTCCGGCGTTTCACTTGTAATCCACGTTTCTGTGAGGCAAAGCACTGCACACTTCTTCATCTCTTCTGAGGCGCCCGCTCTCAGACGAAGTAAATCCACCTTGTTGTCCAACGAGCGGACATTCGACAGAAAGAGAGACGGCATGGGGAGTTTACCGGCTTTAGCGTTAGCTCGTAGCCTCACCATAACCCCCGCCCGGCATCCTCTCCTTGTATATGAAGTATTGTATATGAAGCATCTGAAGAGAAACCTGCTCCTATTTGTCAAAAAGTCTGGTCTCAATTAAAGATCATGAGTCCTGTGACGAGATAACGGCTCAAAATAAACACTACAAACAAAATTAGCTCGTTAGCAGTTCTTCTATAAGATCTGATCTATGAAAGGAGCTGAAACATGGAGTGACCTTTAAAATGAGAGACAGCTGAGGAAGTTAAGCAGTAAACAGAATACCTGCTCCAGGTGCAGAAACCTGACAGAAACTGACAATCACTCATCTGCAGCGACTGATTTAAAAGTTGAACAAGAAGTTTAAGGATCATTATTATTTTGGTTACTTTATTTTTCTTTCTTTATGAATTGATTGTAACTATTGTCACATTTTTCAACAACCAAAATTGATTTTATTTTTTTAATGTAATGGCTAGGTATTAAAAAAAACATTTAGTTCTCCCCACTACCCATTTATGTTGCTCTTATTTTGAAATGTAACCGGAAGTTCTGTGTTAAAAGAGGCAGAAAGAAAAGTTATGGAGACGCCGCTAATGTTGAACCAGTTAACACCATAGACATAATATATCTGTGGCACACCAGACACGCCCATTTTCCTATAGTCCAATCAGATGTGGCCCACCAGACACGCCCATTTTCCTATAGTCCAATCAGATGTGGCCAACCAGACACGCCCATTTTCCTATAGTCCAATCAGATGTGGCCTTCCAGATACGCCTTCTGAATTTGTCTGCAGAGACACCTACTTGGTTGTATCATGTAATGGGTAAATGTGGCTATAATGACAAATTCAAAAAAGTTCAAAACAAAAACAACTGGACTTTATTATTTTGTCTTGAACTTTTTTGAATTTACCATGTCCTGGATGACTGAGAATCTTCACCATCTATTAATGACACAATCGGCCTGCCATAGTCCCCCCACCTTCATTTTGCTCGCTGCTTGGAGCTACGGTCAAACCAGCTGCGCCGCCCTGGTGAAATGCAGGTACCGTATTTTTCGGCCTTTATGTCTCAGTTTTTTTTTTTCATAATTTACATGCGCTGAGACTTATAGGCCGAAGCGACTTATTTTTGGATTTTTTCCCATGTTCACAAACCATTTTTTGGCTGATGTATGACCTGAGTTCTTTAGCCCGTCAAAAAACAAACAAACCATATGTTAGCCGTATCATTGTATAACCCGCGGGATTCAAAGCGTGTGGAAAAAGTAGCGGCTTATAGTCCTGAAATTACGGTAACTGTTGAAACGTAGGAAGTGTCTGGAATTGTAAATATAATTTTGTGTGTTTATCAGGGAGGACCCACTTTAGAACAAAGATTTGAGTCGTATTACAATTACTGCAACCTCTTCAATTACATCCTCAGTAAGTTTTGTTTCTCTTATCCTTTACCTCTAGTATATATTTCCTGTTGATACGTTTGTTTGATGGGAATGTGTGTCTGTAAACAGATGCTGATGGCCCAGCCCCCTTGGAACTGCCAAACCAGTGGCTCTGGGATATTATTGATGAGTTCATCTATCAGGTGCTTTTTATAACATGCTTTTTAAAGAGTATTGGTTTGCCGTATTAAAAACTGCCACAAGTGGTTAACAGAAGGCCATCTACCTGTTCTGTTGGGCCTCAGGTGTGTGGTATAGATCCACGCCTTGTTCAGATTCCTCATATTTAATCTGTCTCCTCTCGCTCCTGGAAGAAGCGTAGGCCCGACTGAAATGTGAAAACTGCTCTTTCTCCTGCAGTTCCAGTCCTTCAGTCAGTACCGCTGCAAGACGGCCAAAAAGTCTGAGGAGGAAATCGAGTTCCTGAGGAACAACCCGAAGATCTGGAACGTCCACAGTGTCCTCAACGTTCTCCACTCCCTCGTGGACAAGAGCAACATCAACCGTCAGCTCGAGGTCTACACCAGTGGAGGTAAACGACGAGTTGACAAACAAAACTGAAACGTTTTAGACTTTTCTGTATTTTCTAGGCCGTTTGTCATGAAAGGCCATCTCTAAACGAAGTCTGGACAAACTGCAAACCTTCTGACGTGCTGTCTTTTTGTTGGATCCAGGAGACCCAGAAAGTGTGGCTGGAGAATATGGCCGCCACTCCTTGTACAAGATGTTGGGTTACTTCAGCTTGGTGGGACTCCTGAGGCTTCACTCTCTGCTCGGTGATTATTACCAGGCCATCAAAGTCCTGGAGAACATCGAGCTCAACAAGAAGGTACGATCTCAACCAGGACCACCACTGTTTTCATTTTCATGAATCTGTCACGGCGGTCCCCAGTCCTTGTCCTCCAGGACCCGATCCTGCATGATTTAGGTGTTTCTCCGCTTCAGCACACCTGATTTCAACGAACGGGTGATTAACAGGCCTCCGTAGAGCTGAAGACCCGCTCAAGAGCAGGGGAAGAACTAAAACAGGATCAGGGCCCCCCAGGACTGAGGGCCACAGCTCTCACTGGTTTGTTTTAGTTCATTTTATTCTTTACAGTTAACGTTGGCATCAACGGCAAAATAAAATGTAAACAAAAGACTTTCAGGTTAAAGCATGAAATATAAACTGAAAGGTCCAAACTTCACCGCGACAAACGAACTGCTCTTATTTCTATATTTAAATATGAACAGTCTGAATTTTCATCGTTTTGTTAAAAACTGAAATTCTCCTTTTGTTGTAATCCAGTCTCAAGAGATTTGTCTTCAGAATGAGCAAAACAAAAACTATTAAAAACAAAACGGTGAAGACGGGAACAAAATGTTTTCACTTGTGCATATCTTATATTATTTATTAAATATATTTGAACGTCTGATTTCATGTTATTTTAGCTGCACGCATGAAACGCGCAGGTGTCGTGTTCGGATCCGTTCCCACTCCTGTCCTGGTCTTTCCTTTCAGCGTTTGAATTTAAAACCCCGGAGCGGAAAGGTCGGGGGGGAAACGGATCTGGACTCGGGAGCGAAACTTGTTGCAACACCGGCACAGCATGAACTAAACATTCAAACATTTATTCACTGAGAAACGTAGCAGACGACCTGTCTGACATCACAGAGCACAGCAGCTCCCAGCAAACCTTGTTCTGGTTCCCAGTCTCCATCACTCATGGTCTCATTCAGATGTGGTTGGCAAACGTTGACTTTCTGTTGTTCCTCTTCAGGTTAGCTTCAAGAACTCCCAGACTTGAGGCGCATTCAGTTTTTAAAACTTTATATCGTGACTCGTTTGACACGGACTCTGCTTAATCTAAAATTATACCGTAATTTCCGGACTGTTGAGCGCACCTGAATATAAGCCACACCCACTAAATTTAAAAAGGAAAAACCATTTTGTACATGTACAGGTCACACTTGTCTCTAAGCTGCAGGTGTTCATGTTGTAACATGAGACATTTATACAGAAATATTTTTTTAACCTTTTAATTAAATACTTACCGGTAGGGCTGGGCGATATCTCTATATTTTTAAAATATCGAGATAATTTTTTTTGCGATATAAGTTGAGACTATCTTGATATACAACGATATGGTGTAGAGGCAGCCGGCTCGGGACCTGAAAGTCCCAGGTTCGATCCCCGGTCACTGCATACCTCGTGGTGTCTCTGGGCAGCACACCTCATCCCCAAAATGCCCCCTGGGCACCACCTGGTGGTGGATGGGTTAAATGCAGAGACTAATTTTGCCATTGCATGGAAACATACAGTGATGACATTATTATTATTATTATATAGTTTTATACTTTGAAATTCTGCCATCTTCTTTCTACCAGGAGGCCCCCCCTCCTTCTACCTCCTCGAACACACACACACAGCCGCGCTCCCCCTCCCCTTCCTGCTTCTCCAGGAGGTGGGCGGACAGGATGAGAGGAGACGTTTAGCAGAAGTAAACGCAGCAGCAGAGTGTGTGAAGCTGCAGCTCCGACAGACCTGACTCCTTCCTTGACGTGAACCACGGTTCAGAGCTCATTTAGCCGTGCTCTGCCCTTTAGAGGAACAGAGAGAGGAAGTGCAACATTGATAAATCAACAGTTTATCATATCGCTAAAGATACGGTCCTTAGTGGCTAACAAGACGGCTAACGCTTTAGCCGTCTTGTTCATCTGACGGGATCGTATATCTCGTTTTTTTGTAAAAAAATATTGCGATAAGAATTTTGGTCCATATCGCCCAGTCCTACTTACCGGTAACATACAAATACGTACAGTAAATAATTTTTCATGAACAGTGCTGGTAACACGGCTGGTTTGAAAAAATATATTTAAAAAAGTAGCCTACCAGGAAGTCATTGATCGCTATCTTCATCTTCCTCCTGCACACAGGGAGGAGGAGGATGGAGGACAGTGTCCTCTGCATCACAGCAGCCTTTGGAAACCCGTTGGTGGAGGATTTTTTTTTTACTCTGCTCCACTGTCAGGATCCTCTGTCAGGATCCTCTGGCAGGATCCACTGGCAGGATCCACTGGCTTGGTTTTGACTCCGGAACAAAAACTTTGTTTCCCTCCCGGTCCACTGTGACCTGTTGGTTAATTTCATTGGTCAGATTATTTATTTATTTATACAGGTGGTCTCATTGAGTCACGAGGGTCCGCCCCCCAAGAGAGACGTGTATTGAGCAGCTCTGAGAGATCCCGGGTGTGACGGGGCTCAATGTTTTGGCTGCATGAAGCTCGTTAGCCCGTAAAAAAAACAAAAAAAAAAACATAAATTAGCGTCAGCGTTGTTTAAGATGCTGAGGAAACTGCTCCAGGTCCTGAACAACACCCCCCCCCCACACACACACACACACACACACGACACCCTGGACTCTAACCGCAGCACATTCAGACGTAGTCTGAGACCACCGAGGTGCTCCACAGAACGACACAGGAAGTCCTTCCTCCCTGTGGCATCAAACTTTCAAATGACATCAAACAGTAAATTAATCCTGCATCACAATAAACTCTTTAATGTTTCTGTCTGCACCGGTTTAGAACTTTGTTGATATTTTTATATCTTGTGTGATCCCTTGTGTTTGTTCCTTTGTACTGAAACTCTGGCACAACAATTTCCTGCGGATCAATAAAGTTCTGTCTTATCTGTGAACAAGCAGCGGCTTATAGTCCGGAAATGACGGTAATTCCAACATGACCCAAAGAGAGAGGGACTCGACGGATAAACTGTCATTTCAGATGAAACCGTTAATAGATTATTCATAAAATGGTTTGTCGATGTTAAAGTTATGATGTCATCATCTGTGCCGTCAGCCCTGGTCCTTCACGGATCCTGTTGGCGTGTTGACCTCGTGGTTTATCTCCTGTCGTGCAGAGCATGTACTCACGAGTTCCCGAGTGCCAGATCACCACCTACTACTACGTGGGCTTCGCCTACCTGATGATGCGCCGCTACCAGGACGCCATTCGAGTGTTCGCCAACATCCTGCTGTACATCCAGAGGACCAGAAACATGTTCCAGAGGTCGACGTATAAATATGAGATGGTGAGGAGGAAAACTGCTGCGCCGCTTTCTTTCTGTACGACTTCTGTTCTGACGACTTCCTGTTTGAAACGTTTGTAGATCAACAAACAGAACGAGCAGATGCACGGCCTTCTGGCCATCGCGCTCACCATGTACCCGATGCGCATCGATGAAAGCATCCACACCCAGCTGAGGGAGAAGTACGGAGACAAGATGCTCCGCATGCAGAAAGGGTGAGACGCTGAGTCCTCTCATCGAGCCAGAGTTGTCCTCTGAGCAACATGACCACGAGTGTGCGCTTTACCGTCTGCATCCATTTCACTAGTTGAGCCTTTTCAACAGCATTTCAGCTCCTCCAACATCTGGAAGCCCCGCAGAGAGCTTCTGAAGAACAAAAACATCTGGAGCTCCTCAGATTTAACAAACGCAGCTCGACTCCGCTTTTTCTCTTGGAGCAACAGGACAGTGGTGAGAGCAGCTGTGTTGTCTGGTCTGGAGACAGAGACATGGACAAAAAGACAGGAGACAGAACTGGAAGTGTCAGAAATGAAGATGTTGAGGTTCTCCTTAGGAGAGACAAGGATGGAGAAGATCAGGGATGAGATCATCAGAGGTACAGCACAGGTTGGACAACTGGGTTAGAGAGGACACGTCCAGAGAAGGGACAGTGGTTTGGACATGTCCAGAGGAGGGACAGTGGGTATACTGGTAGAAGGATGTTAGAAATGCAGCTGCCAGGAAAAAGACAAAGAGGAGATACATGGATGCAGTTAGAGAGGACATGGAGTTAGTTGGAGTGAAGACAGAGTGAGGACAGAGTGAGGACAGAGTGAGGTGGAGGAGGACTCACTGTGGAGACACGTGACGAGGGAGCAGCAGGAAGAAGACACAATCCCCTGATGTAACCAGTGTGCTGGTGTGGACGTGAATGGTTTCGACTCTAAAGACTTGACTTGTTTTACCGGAAGGAAAAGATCTGGTTGTAAAAAGTTTCAGACACTTTGGAGATAAAATACAACGTTGGAAAGAATCAAATGAAAAACTTTAATTTCTCCTTCACTCAAAAGCATTTACAGGTTTAATGACCTGGATTATAAATGTATTAAAAGTGATTAAAACATTTTTATCATTAGTTCCTGAAATTTGGTTGTAAACATCAATATTTCAAATACAGCATTTAAGGAGGACTTTACAGTTCCTCCAGGACTCTTGGAAGAACATTTATTTAAGATTACCAACAGAAATTGTGCTTTTTAGCTGTTTTTGTTTGTTTTTCAGTTGATTTCAGGACAAACTTCCTTTAGTTTCTTACTGAAACGTAACAATTGAAACTCGGTTGAAGACCCAACACGTTCTTTTATTGTTACTTGGACTGTTTGTGTGTCGGCTGCAGCTCCTCACCTGCTTCTCCTTCTCTAACCACAGAGACCTGCAGGTGTTCGAGGAGTTGTTCAGCTTCGCCTGTCCCAAGTTCCTGTCCCCCGTGGTGCCGAACTACGACAACGTCCACCCGGACTACCACAGGGAACCGTTCCGGCAGCAGATGAAGGTGTTCGCTGAGGAGGTGCAGCAGCAGGCTCAGCTCTCCACCATTCGCAGGTAAACAAACTGTTCTCCAGATGTTTGAAGGTGTTGCAATGTTTCCGTTGACCTGTGAGCGACGTCGCCTCCTTCTGCCCTCCAGCTTCCTGAAGCTGTACACCACCATGCCCGTAGCCAAGCTGGCGGGGTTCCTGGACCTGACGGAGCAGGAGTTCCGTATCCAGCTGCTGGTCTTCAAGCACAAGATGAAGAACTTGGTGTGGACCAGCGGCATCTCGGCGCTGGACGGAGAGTTCCAGTCTGCTTCTGAGGTCGACTTTTACATCGACAAGGTGAGGCCGTTTGTTAAAGTTCACTGAGGCGGTCGGATCAACTTTGTCTTCAAAAGTTTCTTCTTCCAAACATCTCATTTTTAAAAATCTTTTTAAACATTGAAGCATTCATAAGTTGACTTTATACAGATGTTGTTGTCTAAATGACTTTATACAGATGTTATTGTCTAAA